CTCTCTCTCTCTCTCTCTCTCTCTCTCTCTCTCTCTCTCTCTCTCTCTCTCTCTGCAAAAGGGATAGATATAGTATGGATTTCTCCCGCAACTCTCCCCCCCCCAAACAAAAAATAAACCCCCACCTCCCCAAAAATAAATAAATAATCATGAACATACCTAGTAAGCACTGAGTCCTTGAATCAACTCAAGTTATCCACCTGGTGGCCGGTTAAACACGCCCCTGATAGCATATGTCACCACCCCACTCGTACTTGTGGGGCCTTGCACACCTATCACTCCATTTGCAAATCCACCCAGCAAAGGATGAACGTTACCACCTGTAACACTCCCACCATGCATCACATTCATGGGTGGCTGGCCCTGCATGGCATACGACGGATGATAACGAGTCGAGCCCAAAACTGGTGCCTGAGGCAAAGGAGCACCTGGTCTTGCAGTATACAGTCAGAGTGCAATGCAGTGACGGGTAAGGAATTTGGCATTGAGCCCATTGGCACGGAAGAAGTGAGAGAAGATAGCATTGATAAGAGAGGAGGGGGCATAGGAAATGAAGATGATGACAAGGAATGCAACAAACCAGGTGGGAGAGGGGGTTAGGGCATATGCATATGTTGAGGCATAGCCAACTAGGAAGGATGTGGAACTGGGGGCAAAGGAGTTGGTAGAGGGAGAGAGGCCATTTGGGGAGGTCTAACTTCTTGTGGGATTTGGTGGTATTGTGTGGATTCCAAGAGAAAAGGATGAGACACTGAAGGGAGAGGAGGTTGAGCCACAGACATTGGAACTTGGAGAGGTGGCCTTTGTTCCCCTTGTTCTGATGAATCCGGAATAGGAATAGATAGAGGCATTGCTACCCCAACACCAGGAATGGTTCCTTCGTTGCATGTCAATCCAGGTGGAAAAGCTCCAGGAGAGGCTGGGGCTTCTGGTAATGGGAAATTGCTTGATAGACGGCCTACAAGTGTAGCAGCATCACTGGGACCTGTAGAGGAAGAAATGAACCAGACATTTTTTATTTTTTTTTAAAGTTAGAAAAGAACCAAACATGAAACTGTGGAAGACTGGAAGCAGAATAAATACATATTTCTCTGCCTGCTAAAATTTCAAGGGAAAATATAAGGACTATATCCACATGAAAGTACAATGTGATCCAACTTAAGACAAAGGCAGAACAAGGTGTTTAAAGACATTTTTCAGCACCATGGGTCACTAATGCAGAATAAAAGGGAGATGCCGGTCAATAAAGCCTGACAAACAGTGAAAATTTTGACAATCTCAGAATGGCCCCAAAACTAGCCAAGATCTTCTTAATGGCTCCAAAAAGTCACCTACCAAGTTTCGTCGCATTCCGACATGTCTAAGGTAGCGCAGACGAAGAAACAGTTTCGGCAGAATCAGTCCCTTACACCCTGAAATAAGACCCCTATAACTACAACCCTAGTTCGGAGTATCAAACGGCCGTGGGACCACCGCCATTGGATCTGGCATGGTTGAAAACCCCCAAAGGTCAAATTTCAGCTTAAACGGACACTCCAGGAAGAAATTATGAGTAAAAGACCAAAACATAAAGAGCTGCACACTATTCCCGTGTGGCCACCCTGCAACTAATCTCCATTAAAGGAACAGTCACGAATAATGACTTGCGGTGCTCATATCTCACTCGTCCGAGATCGAATCACGCTTAAGCTTGTTGGAGCATGTTTGTCTTGTCGAGAAGAGCGTTTTGATATGTAGCACGTCCCGTGACGATGACCGAGCCGGGAGAAAAGCTAGATAGAAGTTGCCAATTCGTGAAGAAAGTTGTAGGAAATCAGCAACGACACACCTCGCTGGAGCGGCCAAATCATGTCGTTCGCGTATCTGATCGATGTTAGACCAGCTGCATCGGTGCGTAAGGTCCATGGCTATCACAGGTTCGAACCCCACGCGTAATGAACGATCGGATGTTACACAAAAGCAGGTCGAAGTCACTGCAGATTCCGGTGACCGGATCCCAAATTCCTGCCAAAGTCCAAAATTGCCAAAACTTCGTTCAGGCAACAAATCGCCTCCCGTTTGTTGCAACGCGGTCGTGGTAACATAGTTCAATTCAGCGAAGAAATAACATAAAAACAACAAGACAAAGACGCACTATCGATCGAAAGTTTCCAAGTTCTATTCAAATTTTAAGTTATGTGATCATGCCTTTAAAGTGTGATTCATGGCTTAAAATTAATATCAAAATGATCGTAGTATTGAGCCCTACATGATGGCAATCATCTTTCGTGCATTCGGATGCCGAATCATCAATGGATCATCCAAAAAGAATCAAGAATGTCCCAAGTTCTCAGCAGGGACTGTTTTGGAATTTTTTCAATTGTTAGGCAGGGGCTAATCAATCAGTTTACACCCTATTTTCTCATTTTATTTAATTCAAAAAATATATAATTATCATCAATTAGGGTTAGTTTCGGGTAATCCACCCACGTTTTAGCCTTAGTCTATAAAAAAATGCTACTTCTCATTGTATGAGGAGGCTCTTTTTTTTTCGATTAAAAAAAATTCTCCTTCGTTGAGAGTAAGAGTGGGACGCGTTTCTTTTTTGAGAGAGAGGAGAGAGAAAGTTTAGAGCAACACCCTTCCTACTTTTAAGGTATTTTCTCTCTCTTCCCTCCTCTCTCTTCTCCTCTCTTCTCTTTCTTCTTCTTCTTCGTCTTCTTCTTCTCCGCTGAGTCTTCCTCAAAGGCCATGCACGGCAGTGGCAGTGTCGCGCATGCCTCCTTCTCTCCTCTCCTTCCCTCGACATGGTTTGCGCATAGCGTTAATCGTCGTTGTGCATAACGCCGTCTTGAGGAGCACATGGTGAGCTGAGCTGCGTTCACGCAACGGGCCGGACTCTTGTTTTGGTTTAAAGATTGGCGTCGCGCACAGCATGCACATCGCCGACCGCGAACCATCTTTCTTTCTTCTCACGGGCTACAGACGGCACAAGCTCTATCTTTTCGACGTCTTGCGCAAGCGCAGACAGCGATACCCATGCCACGCGTCTATCACAGACGACGATGTCTATCGCTGCTCACGAAAGGTCGCAGCAATGACTATCGCTGCCAGCAGGCTTTTCTCATACCCTGAGCTCATCGTAGATGGCAATGACTATCGCCACCCGCGAAGGGTCATGCTGCCTTCTCGCGTTGTCGACGGTGATGGCTAACGTCGTCTGCAGTTCAGTACTCGTCCTCTCGTCGTAAGCAGCAGTGTCCAAGACCATCCAAGGACCACGACACTGTTACTCTCTAGTTGTGCACGGCGATGCCTAACGCCGTCTGAATCCTTTTCTCCCTCCTTCATCTCTCGTCTTCTCTTTCTTCTCTTCTCTTCTCGCTTGACTAAGGATAGACTTAGTCTAGTACTGTCATAGCAGTCTGGCTGTCGAGCAGCATTGCCTTCGCGTTGGTCCAGAGTACCATGCCCGTCTTATTGCCACATCAGATTATGACGATCATATTGGCCTTGGTTTCGAGTAGTATTGTCGTGGTGCCGGTCTGAGTTACCGTGCCCATCTTGCTACCATTACCTCTTCCTCATCACCTTAGTCTCTCATCTTCTCTATGAATATGCATCGTCCTAAGACAAGGGTGGGTCCTTTGGCCCACATGTCTTGCAAATTAACCATGTTAGTGCAGTGCAGAAAACAAGGAGATTGCAGGTCAAGGGAGGCGAGTTTGAACCAGTTGAAGCAGCTAACATGCTTTCCGTCGTGATCTAAGAGGGTGCCCACACGAGTCAGCCCGAGTAAGTCACGGACCCAAGTGAGGTTGGTCCCCACCTCACGTTTTAAAATTCCTCTCTCACCAGTTGGCCACCTGCCCTTGTTCTGTGAACAAGGTTACCAAGAGAGCAATCTCAGGTCTTGGGTCTTACGAACCCGAGACACGTGTCACCCGATCACCTAGATCCAGGGAGGCGAGATCGAGGCATCTAACCACAAGGACCCCTTATAATTTTATTTTTTAGTATCCTACCCTGGTCTTGTGTTACAAAGAAATGTTGTTTCGTTGAACAATCATAAAGGATATCACTGTTTTGCTATTATGCTTAAAACATCTAGGTAATCTTGATTGTAAGGTAATAAACCCATACCCTGATTGTAGCCAGCAACATGTTTCTCACAAGAAGTATCTCCCAATAGGTTTCTACACCAAAACCTTGTTGTGTGGTCATTGTTGCCACTGCATTATATCAAACGACTGCTAATTAAGTTGTTGTTATGGAACAGTGCTTCAAGCAAGGATACTTAAACCTTCTTGCCACAGGAAATTGAAACTTAAACATCAAGTACGTCAGGGGAAAATGCACAATGCTCATTGATTATCGAATATGGTTCAGCATTGGCTTATTAGAATTAACTGACAAGGTCATCAAACTCAAAGAGTTTAGAGATTACCCATAATACAGCTATTAAACATGCCTTATTCTCTAATATTAACTTGGGACCTGATGAGAATCAAACTCTATATGCCATGTTGCAGGACTCGCCACCCTGACCGCCTCTACTTAGAGCTTGCTCTCAGCTATTAGACATTTCTTTTTAACTATAGTCATTCTATGTTTTAAACAGTAAGTGCAAGATTTCCATCAAACCAATAAATTTTTCAATTTTTCAAATGTTCTCCTGCACATAAAGGAAATCCATTTTGATTTGAGTATAAAGAAGCAAATTTAAGAGCAAATATGCCCTATTCATGTCAGATCGGCTTGGTGAGAATGTGAGTATGGCAATTTGGCAATGTATCAGAGGAAATTAAATTGTTTTTCCATCAAAAAGACATCACTGATTATAGTTGCGGAAAACATACATTCTCAAAAAAAAAAAAAAAAAGGAAAACATCAGAAGTCCTAATGCGAAAAAAGTTAAAGATGGTGAAGCACATTTTGCTTAACCCCCCAGAACAAGATCAGTGATCACCTACAAAGGATATAGCCAATAGGATGCTAGGCAAGGTCCCACACATTGTTTTCATGTGCATTATTCACTTCAGCGTGAGGTGTTTCATGCCTATCCATTAAATATAAAGACCGATAAATGTGAAGAGCTAACAATTAAGACAATTGCAATTACAAAAGATAGGTATAAACAAATTGGAACCATAAATTGTAACTATAAAAAAACAAAATGCCATTATTAGTACTATGATGCAAGACAAAATTACTCTTATTTTTTATTTTATGTAGTGATGTATAATTTAATTTTAACGCTTCTAAGTGTTTTAGGAATTCTAGCTTTTTTTTTATATATTTTTAGGAGTTGTTCAGAAAAGTAGTTAGATTGCTTATGGAATATTTGTTTTATTAGATGAGAAATATTATTACGAATTTTCATTTCACATGGGACTATTTGTAAATCTTGTTTTGGTGAATGGAATTATGGACTTTTGTACTCCATAAAGATATAAAAGACATGCGTGGAGGTCTAGATCACATGACTTTGTAAAGAGGAAAAAGGAAAAAAAAGCTTTTGTTCCCCAGTTAGGTTTTTGGAGAGGCACTTGTGCTTTGCTTGGAAATTTTTTATTTTTTGTTCTTCATAAATTTCCACATCAATTGGTATCAGAACATAGGATTCTTGAGTAGCAAGGGTGAAAATCTTCGGTCAAGTCTAGAATTTATCGATTTCAGCCAGTGTTGACTAATTTCAGCCTAACACTTGTCAAATTCAGCTTAAAGTTTGCAAATTTTTTGCCTAGGGTTTGTGATTCAATGAACCTACAACATAAAGAAGGGATTGTGGAAGGAGAGCTCCCGTAGACCTACCTTGAGATGCCAAAGATAAAGAGATTGAGGATCTTAGGAGGCAAGTTCAGCAGCTTGCACAACAACTCATGGGCATAATCATGGGCATGACAATGATCTTTTCACAAAGAAGATGTAGAGCACAAGCCCATGCTCTATATGAAGAGTCGAGTGAAGAAGAAAGTGATAGACGACCTAGACGTGGGGAACATCACTTTAGGGTTTTCAAATTGAAGGTAGACATTCATGATTTTAATGCACATTGTATCCAAAACCAATGGGTTGTAGATTGGGATTCTCAACTATTCTTTGAGCTTGCTCAGTTGAAGAACAATATCTTGTAGGAAATATGATATACGATGATGAACAATATTTTATGGTTGAGCCGATCTTTGGGAAAGAAAACGATGAAGGCCTCAAAGGAGAATCAATTGATGAAGTTGTTGGTTCAACAATCGAATCCAGCCCTCATCTCGAAGATGACCACATGGTATTTTCTAGGGTTGAACTAAGGTAATTTCAACAAGTTTATGTGATGGATAGACTCTATCGACATATAGTGACCCCTCTCCTCGAGATGTTCTCAAAAGGGTGTATATGTTTGTCGATTGATTTCGAAGCCCCAATCTCAATGCATAGTCTCAAAGCATAATGTTATGGTTGAAAAAGGTTTTGGAACTAATGCCAAGTAACCTTAGCCTGCTTCCAAATTTAAAGATGAGTTTTTTCCAATTAAGGGAGTCTGATGCAGGACAAAATCATTCTAATTTTCTTTTATTGTTTAATTTTCAAGGATGTGTATTAATTTTAATTTTACGGTTATTTTCAATTTTGTGAAGTTTTTAGGGATTATAAAGTATTTCTGTATTTTTTAAAATTTATTTCCAATTTTGTAAAGTTTTTAGGGATTATAAAGTATTTCTGTATTTTTTAAAATTTTAGGAATTGTTTAAAAAAGTAGTTAGAGTGCTTATGGAATATTTTGTGTATTTTAAATTAGGACCAGTGTTTTAAAAATCGCCGATCCGATCCAAAATCGAACAATCTGAATCGGATATCGGTGATACCGCACCAGATCGGGTATCCACTGTCTTCAAAGCCCCATGCAGCTTTTTACCATGCCCTATGCATATTAACTTATTTAAAACGCCTTGTACCATGCAGCTTTTTACCATGCCCTATGCATAATAACTTATTTAAAACGCCTTGTACCATGTCTTTTATGTGGTGTACTGCTCCCTCATCTTTTCGATGTGGGGCAAATGCTTATTGTCTATCACTCATCGAGAAAGTTACTAATGTTTGCTCCGTGTATGGAAACTTGGCAAGTATTAATGTCCGGTATCACCAATGTGGGGCAAGTATTAATGCCCAATATCACCACTAAGGATCCACATTTAATTTTGTCTATTCACTCGACGATGTGGGGCACATATTAATGTCCATTGTTAAAATTAAATTAAGCTTTTTGTAATAAAAAATAACCTTTTTATTAGATATTAGGCACTAAGTCATTGGTTAATAGAGATTAAAAGAAAAACAAAAAAATACTAGCTCATAGGATATTAGAACAATAAAAAATAATATTAATACTAGTTTATTGACCATTAAAAAGATTATTAGTTTATGCGACATTTTAAAATAAAAAAAATAACACTAACTCAAACGACTTTAAAATCTATTTTAAAGTTGCTTCGTCAATTATCCCACATGGCAAGTATGATAGTTATATATTTTTCTAATTTTATTATAATATACTTACAAATTTACGTTTCTAAATTCTATACTTTTGTAGATTTATTTATTTGTAAGGGTCACACCTTTGTTTATTATTAATAATTATATATTGATAATCAAATCTTGCATTTTATTTGTTTATTTATTCACATTATAAATTATATAATGTATTATTTTTATTACAGCTGTAAATAATTTTTAAAAAAATTAGATGATATTATAAGACAAAGTTTAAATTTATTCATACAGGGAAAAAACATCTCAATATTCGCATATTAATGAAAAAAATGAAAGTTCTTAATGTAGCACCCCCATTTCTTATTGGATTCCTAAAAAATAATATTTATAATGATTTTTAATATTTTTTTTGGATTTGTTTTAGGCCGAATCTGACCGATTCTCGATCCGAAACGCCGATTCACCGATCCGGATGGATTTTTGGGGTGCCCGATCCGGGGCACCGATCAATTTTTTAAACCACTGGTCAGGACTATTTAGTCAATCTTATTTTGGCAAAAGGAACTATGGGCTTTTGTGTTCCATTTAACATATAAAAAGAGGTGCGTGGAGGGTTAGGCACCTGTTCAAGTGACTTTGACATGGGGGAAAAAGGAAAAGGAAGCTTTTGCTCCTAAGTTAGGATTTTGGAGAGGAAACCCTGGTTCCCTTCAAAATTGTTGTTTGTGCTTTGCTTGGAATATGTTTAACTTTCTGGTTCTACATCACAATGTATTAAAAACTTAATGCTCACAGGATCAGCAACTTATAAATCAGGAATCAACTTGCCCAAATAATTGGAAAATTGAGAACAGCACAGGGACTTTGATAAATTTGGAACACTTAGCATATATAGGACAGAAAGACAAGCTTATACTGCCAGCATCTTGTGTAACTTATTCATTTCATGTGGCTTCAATTGAGACGAAAGAGACATTACCCAAAGAGCCAGTGAAAGATAGATCCATCATAACTCCCACTCACTCACGAAATACTCTTCATGGAATGGATGCCACACCAAAGCTAGCAAAATAACTATGCCAACATTATCAAATATAATCAGTTATTTTAACAATACATTATCAGATATGGTCTTCCTATCTTGATACCAAACATAAATAAAAATGATCAAAGCTTACATGAAACTGTTAATGTTTCCCATTGTATTCATTCATTGATTACATTGAAAATAAGAAAAGTTTGTGGTGAACTCGCATCGAAGCATCTAAGAAGGACCCTAGATAGTCTAGGGCCATGGGCTGCAATTTTGCCACTCATATGAAGTCAATGCAGTGCTTGTGGCGAAAAAAGATGTGAGAGAAACCTAAATATTATCAATGATGACATCAACAATAAGGTTGTACAAATCTGATGCAGTATATTAGAAGGTACAAAGAAATTCTTATACAAATCACAAGCTTGAAACTCATGCCTGATTGGTTAAATACAGGCACCATCAAATAGAATAAATAGATATACATAAAGATTTGGGCAGTGGGCAGAAGAAGCATTAGACTGGAGTTCAAAGCTAGAGCAGATATAATAAAAAAAAAGAAGGAAGCAACTACCACGCATACCAATCAAGTCCACAATTAGCACACAATCAAATCAGTTTGTTACTTGTTACAAAGTAAAACCAATTAACCTGTAAAGAAGTAAACAATAAAAAAGAGTCCACCAGATGAATTACAAGTGCTTAAAATTGCAAAAGTCCATTGGCCATTGGGGATGATTCTATTATGCATAAAATAATGAATTAGAAAAAAAATAAGCAATAAACAAATTACCAACCAGTTACATCCTTGCGATGACCACGATAAGATTCAAGCTCCTTCATAGTTCATATATCATAAAGCTGAAAATACGATAAAGGTTTTAAATGGTGACTAGGGTCGAGATAGTAACACTGGGGAATCAATCAATGGACTATTTACATTGTTGAGGAAAAAGAATGCCCGACAAACAATTATAAGTGCATCATTAAGCCTTTGAAAAATTATCCATGCATCATCGAGTCAATGAACATCTATGCATGCATGTAGGTATACACAGCATCAACACAATAGCATTTGGTGAACTTAAACAAACGCATATCAATTTGCCATATGACCCTTCATGAGGACATTCTAAAAAAATTAAAAATTAAAAATAACTCAACCTAAAGATCTGCTGATGTAACAAAAAGCAAGAGATCATTCCAACAGGTAGTCATATTAAGAAAAACTTTCTTTACAGGTAAAGAACATCATCACCAAATGAAAGAAAAACTCAAATAGGATCAAAATGGTGCAATTGATACACTTTTGGAAACGTCTATGTCCTTCATGGCCATCTGGAGAACCATGATTTGCTAACCTACCACCACATTATTAGTTGGGCCATGTGCAAAGACAACTATCCAGCAATTAACTATGAAATATCTTTCATATCATAAAATAATAGTGCTAAACATAATTGGAGTATGGGAGACCAGTCATCTCCCATTAAATGACATTGATAACATTCCCTAAATAAAAAGCAATCATAAGAGGCCTCGTGCAAAAATGCACGAATGCATGGTCCCCAAGGCCCCAGTCCTTGAGAAAGTAGTGACCTCAAAGTGGATCATTACCACTACAATTTAATGGCCACATTCATCCCTGAATACTCCAAGTTCCCGACCTTACTTCCTTACCTTAAAGAAACATGATTTGTAGAAAACAGGCTGAGCACCAGTCTCAACACAGAAGACCTATTACTACATCAGTTCCGAACTTAGTACAGTAATACTAAGATAGAAAGTGCAAACTATAATATGAGATGATCATGCAGCTTTTCATCGAGAACAAGATGATATGCTCAAAGCTAAAAGAACACATTAATTCAAAGTAGGCCATAGATAGCCATTGGAATTGCCAGATCTCGAGCAAGTGACCACCAGATTATTTAATGCAGTCATATTCAAGATGCAGCATTAGTAAACATGAGCAACCTAGATAGGTAAAATAATGAACTTAAGGCATTCATAATTAAATATCATGAAGGCCTGCTAAGAAGATGCCAACCTTAATGATCCGATCTTTTGAAGACGTGAGAACCCAATTACCATTTTGATTCTATTTGACACAAAGCACCCAATTCTTGTGACCATGTGTGCACATTTATAAATGCCAAGTTGTATTTATTATATTTAAATGGAAGTGAATCATTAAATTTTCATGGAAGCAAATCTGATCCTTTCAGTGAAAATGCGTTCCAACTCACAACGAACAAAGTTCTTTCCCTGATTTTGCATCCCAAAGTTTCACAAGGCTTTCCTTGCCACCTATGACCATCCAGGTACATAGAACATCATAACATTAAGCACTGCACAGCAATAAAACAAAGTGCAGGACATGTAAAACGATTCTTGCATCCGAACCTGAAATGAGCAAAGATTTTGTGGGGTGCCAATCAACACTCTTTACCTTCCATAAGTCACACGTCTGAATTTAAACACAAAAGAGACTCTCAAGTTATCCCTTGTTAGCCGTAATTACATGGATTATCCCTTTACCATGATAAAACTAATAAAAAGCACTATCCAAGGCATGCATCTTCCAGTTCAAAGCAACAGGTCCAGTTATCAAAGAACTTCATAGCAGGGGTGTAAACATATTTCTAGATTAGGTTTCATAAGAACATTTGGAACAAGGAAAAAGTATATGATGGCTTGATGAGAACAAAGTAGATAAGGATAAACAGAAAGAAGGAAAATGAGGACCACACAAGAAAAGGAGAAAATGTATCAATGAAAAAAAATACTGCAACGGCAAAAATAAGAAATAATTATGAAGACATACAAATAACACTTTAGTGCATGCACAATAAATCTAATATAAAGTACTACTGAAAAAAATATCTAATAGTGATCTTGCATTCACCAAGGAAAGAACTTTCAATAGATAAATAATCGCATATAACGAAGCAATGAGCTATAAGAAAACTAAACAAAAGGAATTTCAATGGAATAAATAATATGAACAAGATAAATAATCTAAATGGCAACTCTAAAGCAATCAAGATGTAGGTTTGACTTGGTGGAGAGACGTTTTCCAAACCCCATCACATGCATCTTTTCTAGTGTAGCCAAAAAGAGTTCCACTAGATAAATAATTCTAACTAAGTAATGAGCCATAAAAAGAACTAACAGTCAAATGCGAAGTAACCATATGCTAATAGATTCTCAAGGAGTATGGGTAGAGATTAATACATAATTGGAGGCATTTAGTTATTTCACAAGGATATATAAGGGCCTAAGTCAATGAGGTGAAGCCTTATGGAGATTGTGAATGATGTGCAGGTTTAAATAATGTATTAAGAGGGACCTATGAGAAAGACAATCGGGGAAAGACTGGAACAGCGGTTAAGAAGGAAATGATGTGGCCAGTGATGCACTTGTGTGCTCACAAAAGTACTGGGGGGTAGTTATATGAGAATAAGGTATGGTTAAACTTGCAATCTGAACCAATGTTCTCCATAAAGGGATATAATTTTAGCTTTGAAACTGGAGAAGCAATGTAAGAAATTGATGGAGCACATTACAAAAGCATATTAAGTTAGCTGATCCCGCTCAATAAAAGTGGGTCTTATTGAACTACAAAGTCCAGGGGATCAACTATATCCAGTGGCCTCAATTGTATTATTTGCCATAATCCCTTCATTAGTTTATCTATTCTCATATATAACACCACTATTAAGGGTTGGACACATAGCATTCAAACTACATGGGAGACCTAATATGACAGAGAATGTAGGATAGGTACACAACACATAGACGTAGTGTCCCAATACACATACACACACACACAAAGGAATCCCCAAATGGAATATCCATAGCACATGATAACATGAATGTAATATTTACATGAAAATAATCAATTTGACTGAACATTTTGGCTGGTTTAACAATGAGTATGCAAAAAATCTTATTGGTAACGTAGGTTTTGTTTCTATTAATTTGACCCTTTTTAGCTTTTAATTTGACCCTTTTTAGCTTTTCTTTTTTTTTTTCTAATTTAATTTCTTATGATTTTGGTGTTTGCTCTTCACTTTTTTCTATGGAGTACTTTGATTAGACTACCTTTTCCTTTAGATTTATCTTTTGATAGCTTCAGACTTCAGAGTTGTCAGAATTTGTTTTAATCATCAGAAGCCTGATCTCTTTATATACTGATGATTATTATATCAGTTTCAACAATGAATATAATCTCATTAACAATGAAAGTTTTCTCTACTAAAAAGCTACTTTTTATTAGCCTTCTGTATTTTTCTCTAATTTATTTTCTGCATTAGTTCATATTATTTTTCAGATTTTTTTACAAATTGCTTTGATTTGCACATTTTCTGATTGTTCATTGATCTTGGTACATGCCATGCTTTGCACGTCGCTGTACTAGTATGTTAAACACACAAAAGTCCAGGTTCTCCAAAGACAAAAGTAAGGCGCAATTACCAGCTAGTGTCCGCTCTTCTTGGCATTGAGCAAAGTCCCACACTTTAACAGTACCATCATCAGAGCAAGACCAACTTCAGGTCCGTCCTTGAGAAACTGTGAAAAAGAATAAGTCCATATAATGCCCATGAATGATTAATAAATACCTTTCTGTTTGCAATCAAAAGTTAACCATTTTTTTTTTTTTTTGAGAGATACAGAGTCAAACAGTATACCTCAAGTCACGAACGGACTCTTTGTGTGCAGATTTATTAGCCTTCACATTATTCATGTTAGTTTGCCAATACCTATTGAAAAAACACCTTGTAGAAACATTAGTGCTTGAATGAGATAGAGTGAAACTAGTGTTCTAAAACACAGCTCGAGGGAAGAAATGAAAAAAATTTTAAAAAAATCACAAAAATTTTAAAAATGCACAAAATAAAAATATATAGAACATAGAATATTATGGGCTCTGAAAAGTAAAAAAATCTAAAAAAAGAATTTCAGAAAAAAGGAAAATAAGAAAAATCATAAAAAACATAGAAGTATAAAATAAATCAGATTTATGAATCTAAATTAAAAACGAAAAATACCCAAAATTTCAAGGCCAAGCCCCCGATCTTTGTACTTGATGAGAACTGATGCTTCAAATCCTTGTCAAAGCTTCCTCAAACAACCAAAATCAAAATCCCCTTCACTAGTTTTGGCTTTTCAGTTTGGATCTGGGATGTCCTGAGATCTTGAAAACTTCGAATGAATAATAAATCCAAATTATTATGTAATTTGGATTTATTATCAAAAAAAAAAAATTAATCAAAAAAATAAATCCAAATTATTATGGCCTATATAGTACCAGCAAGTACTATACTAACACGCCCAAGTACGATGAAACACTAGCGAGTCAACGAAAGTGTCGCAGTAATGGATGAGTTTGTACCAGTACTCGCCAAAGTATGGTATTCGGTATCTTTAGGACAATGGTGTCATATTCGGTTCAGAGTGTTATTTGGTTTGGTGACAAAACTTAAGCAATTCGGTGCTTTGGCTGATTCGAGGGCTGATTCAAAAGAAGACTTTGGACTTTTTTTTTTAATTTAATATAAATAAATTAGATATTTATATATAAAATATATATAAATAATAAATAAATAAATAAATACATAAATACTTTTATATAGCTATTTCTTTGCTGGCCAAAGCAGACCCGAAGAAGACCTGAATCATACCCGAAGCAGCCCGAATCTGGCCGAAGCAGCCTGAATCTAACCGAAGCGGCAGCATCCAGCTTTACTTCTCTTCGGTTTATGTCCAAAACCTGAAGGCTTCTGCCTCTTCGGCCGAAGCGAAACGAATTTGACAACATTGCTTTAGGTACCATAGTGCAGACACAGTAGCTACCAAGCTCTAGTAAGTCACCCAAACCAGTCAACGGGGGCAAGTGTTTGAACACTAAGTGAAACCAAAACAACAAAATTAATATTTACAATTGGCATACTTGATCAGGCCACCATCATCACTCATGACCATCCAATTCACGTTATGACTCCATACCATGGACCTTATTGCCGATCATGAGCCTTCATGCTTTGGAAACACAAAAATGACAACGATTAGCATTTCGCGATACTCCAAAAAAGAAATATGAAGGCAGCAGAGAACACACATAATCATCCATTTTGATTGTATCAAAGTACAATACCTGAAGAAACATTTCGAAATTAAATGATTTGTCCATTCCATTGAGTGAATTCGCCACTTTGAAAACCTGTGATAAGCCTTCGCCCTGTGGGGACCCACTTCAGCCAAAAAAACAGAGATTAGAGTGTTTGTCACAAACAAAAGAAGGATTTTTAGCAACATTGCTAAAACATACTCATGCAGTGAAACAGAGAGCGCAAATTAGGCAGAACACTGCCAACAGGACAAAATCCGTATCAAAGATGTGCAAACTAAATTTATGTTGCACAAAGGCATACTCAAATTACAGAAACAAGCATGGAAACAAATAAAAACTTGCTAGTTAACTACATATCTTTAGTTTCTTTCCATCAGTAGAAAGAAAATAAAGGAAACACTCTATGCTCTTATATAAATGAAAAATAGTCCATCTTGAAATCGCTCTTAAATACATCATAATAAGCTAGGAAAGCAAAACCAGGAAATCATATTCTTGTGGCTAAAATAAGATTTGCAAGCCATAACCAGTATTACACAGACACCTCCCTTTCTCTTGTCTGGTTTGTATACGCATGTCGACACTTAACTACACGGGTCAACATGCCTAGACAAGTGACCAACACGTTTTTCATACGTGAACAAAAAATTACAGCAGCTCAACTCTATGCCGACACATATATACACTATTTGGATATCAAACACACAATGTCTATATTGTGTTTTATATAGAAAAACACCATGAGAGGTCAAAAAGAGCAAAGAGTAAGCCCAAAAAGACATGGTTAGAAGTAATTAGAAACGATAATGAGACATATGGCTTTACTGAGGATATGGCCCTTAATAGAACAAAATAGTGGATCAGGATCTGTGTAGCAGACCCCAATTAGTTGAGAAAAGGCTTTGACGGTGATAAACATTTCCATTATGGGTTTTGTCAGAAATATATAATATTCATCCTTTTGCAAAGTGCAATATATGCTACTATTCGGTCTCTTACAAGTGCATTTATCTGAGTAGAAAAGTCAAACTATTTAACTACTATTACACGGGACTCAAAAAAAAAGGAGCTCTCTAGTGCATTTAACTGAGTAGAAAACTCAAAACATTTAAATACTATCACAAAAGACTTAAAAATCCTCTTACAAAACATGTATATTTTAGAGTAATCACATAGGACTCCACAAAAAGAGCTCTCTTCTCACTACTTTCATCCATATCCTTTTAGGCCTTCTCGTTGCCCTTTTAGAGCCTTCCACTTGAACCATTTCGCCTCTCCTAACCAGTGTTGTATTATGTCTACGGTGGCCGGCCTAGCTAAATCTACTACAACTAATATATTATAGATATTGAATAAATTAAAATACCAACTATCACATAAATCACATTTATGTTTCTATCTATGCATTATTATATTTTGGTATTTTTAAAAAAAAATTAAATGTATAGACCACATTAGAAGTGATGTGCCGTCGTCGAGACCACATCGAGCCACATCACCACATCCCACAGCTTAAAACATTGGTTAAAACATCAACTCCTAGATATAGGCATCGCATATCAGGAAAGGAATATAAGCCTACAGTTTCTTGGAAATTATTAGCATTACCAACATGGAATAGTGGCTTTTGCAAGCTAAATTCTCAATGACAAATCATGAAAGAAAGAAACAAGTTTTCTTAAGATTCTGAATTTCTAACCTAACTATGGCGATAAGCAAAAAACCCAGTAGCACCCCAAGAAGTGCACCCTTGTTCAGACCTGGCCAACATTTAATGAACAAACTGCTTAAATGATTACCAAATGAGAGATCTGTGATAAAATTTCAAATCGTTAGATCATTAAGGACCTTAGCCAATCATATTTACATAGATAGCAGCCCCAAAAACGGATTGTTGTCAGTGAACTTGGAACATTTTATTTTTCTCACACTTGTGAAGGCTCACAAATGGCAATAGTTGACATGGCATAATCAACAAGGTGTGACAAGTGGCTCACATAAAACTTTAAGGACCAGAAACCTAGTTTAAAAATGTAAATGAACAAACAAGCTCAAACTATCTGACATAGGGCTCATATAAAATCTAGGACCAACTAAGGAATGAGTTCGACCATTCGAAGGGAAAAACACTCCAACTGTCAATTAATGTAAGAGTGTGTATATCTTGACTTATGTACACGATATCCCACAAATACCAATATTTGTAGAGGCATGGTATATGTAGCTCGGTAATCAAATATCACGAGACTGGTTGCATAAATGTCGAGTTATGAAGGGTTCAGTGTTAAAATTTATTTTAAACAATGTCGATTTGTCAGCGTTCTAAAAGGTATGATGTGGTGCCTAGGTGGTAAACGGCAGGGGGCTTGTTTCTGGGGACATCCCTAAGCTTGAGATTTTGAGGCTGTTGCTATTAAGAAATAACAATAAGGAAATTACCATTTTACGTAAATGAGCCTAGGAGGCCGCCCAGGTAGTCAAGGTGGGTGGGGTACCCACTTCGTTTGAAGAAGAACCAAATAGGCCCTACTTTTCTTCAAATAGGGCCATACATTATTCAATTGCAGATGGGATTTTTCTCAGATGTGAAGAATATTCAATGACTGTTAGTAGATGGGCCTCAAGGGGATTAGATAAACCTTCAGGGACACCGCCTATCCCTGGCATTTGGAACAATTGTTTGACAGAATTTTCGATATTTGTAGAACCCATACAAGTCTTCTTCAAGTACGTGTACTGCGAGGCAAACGCAGTTGTTGATACAACCCAGAATACTGCTTTCGTGTATCTAGATAAGAGAGACAAGCTTAAAATTTACAAGAGGAACCACAGAATGGCAAATTAGTCATTGAGTCTATCATTTTATATCTTTTATTTATTTCTTGAGTCTTTTTATTCACTTAGGGGCATAAGTAATAATTTCTAGAGTCATTTATATTTTTTTATTCACTTATAGCCTTTTATAATGAAAGGGTCATTATTAGATTAAATAGATGGCCAAGATTAAGCCTTGTTTAGGGTTTTCTAACATAAAAGATGTACTAAAAAATAATGATCGATTATATTATAGACTTTTATCAAAAAACGTAAAGCAACAAGTGCTCCCTTTATCTTTGTTTTTTTAATCTTTTCCTAATTTTGGGTCTTCCCTGTCTTCTTCTTTGTTAAACCCTGGCTTCAAGCTTCTAGGTCCGTGCCAGGTTGGTATCAAAGCCTGACGATCAATATGGACAATATTGTAGCACTGTAGCATAGTATTGTAGCACATACAATAGCACAGTATTGTAGCACATACAATAGCACAGTATTGTAGCATCGATTTTTTTGCCCTAGATCAACAACAATGCCTCAACACAAAGGAAAATGAGCAAAGCAACAACCATAGAAGCCTTTGATGTTAGTTTGTGAGCAGTGTACTAAAAAACGATATGCCCAACACCTAACCGCCCAAGAGACCTCAGGCTGCACGCCTAGGCCTTGGTGCCCCGTTCTGGGCAATTGTTCCAAGGCAAGTGCCCAGACGGGCACCCAATGCCAAATTTTGGGTGGGCACCCAAGGCCATGGGCCTTTTCTCAATTTTTAAAGATGCCCAAAAGGGCATAGAGGTTAATTTTCATCCCAAAAAAAGTTCAAATAGATTATGGAAGTTATTTTCAACCCCCAAAAGTTAAAAGAACACTTCCATAAGCCTTAAATCTCTTAGCTATACCTATTTTTTAGAATCAAAAGCATTTTTTGTGGTTTGAAGAAGCATCCTAAACTTTTCTTTTCTCATTGGAATTATTTTTAGGGTGCTATTGAAGGTATTAGAAAACTTTTGAGGTGATTAGTAGCTTGATTGAGGTCACAAACATCGAAGAGTCAAGATTGGGCGAAAACGGCTAGCTGATAATCTTTATTTGAGTTTCATTTTTTGGATTTGAGATGTCCTCCACAGGGTCTACTAGGAGTGGGGATGCGAGATGGAAGTATTGTGTTAACCTGAATAAGAATGATAAAAAGAAAATTACTTGCAATTTTTGTGGACATATTTGTAATGCCTGCATAAATATATTTAAAAAACATCTTGGCAGTATTAGAGGTGATGTTGGCCTTTGTAAGAAGGTTCCAGCGTTTGTAAAGAAAGAGATTTCTGAGTACATTGAAGTTGAAAAAAATAAAAGAATAACAAAAGAAAAGGATATAACAGAATTGCGAGAAGGGGTCCATGTTTTTTATGACAATGTTGACACTAATGAAGATGAGGAAGGGGAAGATGAGGTAGGCAAGGTAGCAGTTACTCAGAGCTCTAAGAGTAAGAGGGATTTTGGGTCTAAGAGGCGTCGT